TTATGAGACCAAGTTTTTCTAGATCAGTTTTTTGCGTAGATTCCGAATCTGGGTGGTGATCAGGCGTTTGAGGGGGCGTTTACGAGATATAGGGCAACAAATATCTACAATGGGAGGGGGGTGGTGATGTCATTATGTTGACATAATATATTAATAAAACATAAATTTCTAGGACTGCCCATCTTTAAATAGGTGTTTATGATGCCCCTGGACAACTGTTTTGATTTATGGGGAGGTGGGGTGGCAGTAGCAGGTGTGCGCGTGTGGAGGGGTTGGGTGGGGATAAAATTGGCGGGGAAATGAGTTCATGTTGATTTAAATGATGATTTTCTAAGAGCTTGATGAAACATCTCTAAATATGTTTACAAGATTCCTATTGTTTGGGGGTGGACGCCGGGGGTTGAGTGCGTACCGTGGGGGGGGGGGGGGCGGTGCGGGTGATGGCGGGTGGCGACATGTATTTTTTGTGGACAGAAATCATTTCGTTCATAATTGAGCTTAAAGTGGTATCTCGTTAGAGTTTTCATTCAAAATATTAAATTATAATGGTACTTTTCACGAGATCTGGAAATGTAAATCAAAAACACATTAACTCAGAGATATGTTTAGTTGTTAGTTTATTCTTTGTCTTCATCAGAAGATTCAAAATCAAAAGTTCATATGAGCGAGATAAATATTTTCTTGGTTGCTGGCCAACAGCTCGCATATCCTTTGGATATGCTTCAGAAACTAATTCACATTGTAAATCTTCATTCCAGCCATGCAGCAAAAGACCACGTATACGGCAAGGTGGTAATAAAGAAAGGTCTGTTATTTTTTCACCCAGAAAATCTTTTTTCTAGTGTCATCTAGTGATGTAAGTCGTCTTTCGCGATATTTTCTACCTTTGTCCGTCTCATTATCGATCAAAATTTGTATATTTGGATCATCGTTTGCGAAGAGAATGATTGGGATGTCTATTTCGCCCGAGCAAGAACGCAAAATACAATTTGTTTCAGCACCTCCATTAATTTGCAATGCGAAGAGGAGTAGGTAAGATATTTTGGTGTCCTCGTGGTTGGTTGTCAGTTCTAGGATATTCTCGACACTTTTTGATCCAATCAAGATTAGTATTGAAAGTGTCGTGAATATCTCGGCCTACATGCTTTCAGTGGTAATGACTATCTGTCTGTCTTTTTTCAAGATAATCCCAACTTTCTAACAATTTATAAAGAGCTGGGATAGACAAATAATGCTTCTGATGGCGTAATGGCTGGTTTAGAAAAAAATGTTTGTACATGTACCTTGTACGGCGAAAATCGACTTACATCAATAGATGACACTAGAAGAAGGATCATCTGGAGAAATTTTAATTGTGATGAAAAATAACAAAACTTTCTTTCTTTATTACCATCTTGCCCGAGTAGTCTTTTGCTGTACAATAAACACAATAATAATGTAGCAGCTTTATGGAGACAGGCTTTAAAATTAATGATCGAACAAGATGACTCTGCGATACAAGGCTGGAATTTACAATGTGAATGGGTATCTGAAGCATATCAAAAGGATATAAGCATATCAAGAAGATATCTATCCCACTCATATTATTAGAATAAACTAATATCTAAACATGTGTTTTTATGTACATTTCCAGATCTCAGTGGAATTAAAAAGTAATGTTTTTACCAAGCTCTAAGAAAATCATCAACGTGAACTCACTTTTCCCGCCAATTGTACCCCCCCCCCCACATCCATACGCGCGCACCTGCTACCCCCACCCCACCTCCCCATAAATCAGAATAGTTGTCCAGGGGCATCATAAACACTTATTTAAAGATGGGCAGTCCTAGAAATTGATGTTTTATCAATACATTATGTCAACATAATGACACCCCCCCCCCCCTCCACACACACACACACACCCACCCACACACACACCTGCTATCCCCACCCCACCTCCCCACAAATCAAAACCGTTGTCCAGGGGCATCATAAAAACTTATTTATAGATGGGCAGTCTTAGAAATTTATGTTTTATTACTATATTACTTCAACATAATGACATCCCCCCACTGTAGACATTTGACCCCCTATATCTCGAAAACTCCCCCTCAAACGCCTGATCACCACCCAGATTCGGAATCTACGCAAAAAACTGGTCTAGAAAAAGTTGGTCTCATAAATTCACAGCTCGGGTGGTGATCCCCCCCCCCCCCCCTTCAGCCACCGGACTAATCTGGATGGACCTCGATTGGTAGGTTTAAGTCTGTGTGATCACACACGCGCATCGGATGTCGTCCCCGATTATCGAGAACCTATGAATTTTGGGTGTGTCGTTTAAAACCCGTGGTTATGTTCTACCTACTGCAACTACAACAGAAATATTTCTTAATGAGAATAAGAAACAACCTGTATCAATCACTTAGAATGGAACGTGGCACATACTTTACATTAACTGTCCTCGGTTATTGAGATCGATATTTGATGCAAGCTTGTATAACCATATAAGCATTAACCCATGAATCGAGGACTTAAACACACGTCTAATAAATGAAATGGGGTTTAACGTCCTACTGTTCTGCTCCTCTACTGGGCTAATGAAGACGGACACGTCTAATAAAGAAAATAACCACCTTATGATAACTCACAGAAAATTCCACACGATTCAATCTCAAACGAATGCACCTGTAATTTTCACTAAATTCTTTTGATATTCCTTTTATTTTATCTGATTGAGATTATCTACCGATGATATCTGAATTAAATGTTAAATAAATAATTTCAGTACCTTTTAGTGGGGATTAAAGATACATTCCCGCGTACAAACTGGGTGATTTAATGGTATATATGGACTAAAAACATATTCAAACTAATTAATTTGTCATAATTTTGCTTCAAATACTTCTCAAACATTGTAATTGCGAAGGAATGCCTGCTATAAAAATTCGATCAAACCAGGTCATGTTTACGTCACGTGACTTACCTCTCTTGGAAGTCAGAGAAGAATTCATTGCATACATAAGACGATGTTGTCTTTAATCGCTTACTATGTATTACAAATATCGAATCCTAATTAAATTCTAGGATTATCCACTACCCGCTTCTTTTTCCGTCATTTTTATCTCAGAAAGTGTTGTACGTCTAACTCTTCATAAAGTCTATCAACTTGTACATCAAGCACTCAATGTTCGCGTGCGACCTTTAACATCACACGTGCAGAAATTCCTAATTGTCGGGCTGTCGATTAGGGGAACCCTTACATTTTTGTCCTGTATACGCTCCATGAGTGTTTTTCAGGGAATCCAGTATTTTTCTAGTAAGATTGGATATCTCTACTTTCCATATATACCATAATTGCCATACTTTTATTGGAAATAACCACCCGATAAATACTTTTCTGGGAACCCATCTTTAAATGGTGGTAAAAATGATATATATTCCCCAAAATGCAAATAATGAGTCAAGTGATATGTATATGACAAAGAGTAGGATCATGTCGATCCTCGTGGGTTTTCTCCGGTTTCCTTCCACTGCTAGAGACCCCTACAGGCAAGTGAATTATTGAAATAAAATTGAACCATATGTTAGCCTCTATTTAAATGTGAACATAATACTACTTATTCCATGAAAAATAATAATTATATATTTATTAACAAAGTAAATTTCTATACAATTTCCATAATGTATATTTTATACAGTTGTCATAATAAATACATGATCAATAACAAAAATTAATAAATAATGTTAATTTATAATCTCGGAACTACTTCAAGGCAATACACAATAAGTTTTATTATGTGGAAAATAAGATTTTGTTGTTTTTGTGACACTAGTTCAGCAATAGGTCACCTTACATTCGGCCTGTACAGAGCCGAAGGGGTGAATGGGTGAGGCTACCCGAAAAAAGATTTTCTGACATTATAAAGCTATTGACCTGAAAATGGTACAAGTAGTTAGGAAATGTAATCAACAAGGGAAAACTAGCATTAAAAATAAATTGTTGCCAGGGTAACACATTTTTTGAGAAAAAGTATCATTTTCGGACTGCTTATTCTTTAATGATAACCCTAACACCAGACACAGTTTATCTCTATAATTTTTATAGCTTCTTGGAAAAAGGTGTTTAAAACATTTGCCTCACCACAATATTTTGTCTCTTGAGAAATATTTTGATAACTTTTGAAATATTAATGAGAATTCAATTTGCTTTATGTCTGATTCTGTTGTAGATATTTAGTGATGTTATCTTAATGAGTTACAGAGATATAGTGTACCTACGTTTTTCATAATTTCCCCCCCCCCCCAAAAAAAATGAGTTACACTTCCTAACTACTTGTACTATTTTCAATTCAATAGCTTTAAAATTTCAGAAAACATTTTACGGGTAGCCTCATCCCTTTACAGTGCTAAAAATAACATGTTTGTAGAATTTAAGTGAAGTAATTTAATTATAGAAGATTATGGTAAGATGATGGTGATACAAATATACAGGGAGGGGTTCCGGACCCTCACCTGTTCGAGCAGGGCATATTGTTTTTCCTCCCCTATTCATCGCAGTAATGTTAAAATGGACACCGTTTTGGCCTCACTGAACTCAAATCCTGTACATGTAAGCAACTTAATCAGCAGAATTATTGTCATTCAGCTACTTATTTTTTTTAAAATTACGGGGGTTATAAACCCAAGATCTCACGCCAATCTTGGTGTTGTTTCTACCTTAGACTCCTGATACTCAAATTCCTTGACACGCCCCTGATATTTCACGATTATAGTACTACCTAAGATGGTGACAGCACCTACAATAATTACAGTTTGTGACACGATTAAAGTGAAGTTACAAGAGTTGGTCATTAAGTTATAACAATACAAATAAAAATGATGTTCAGAATATATGATCGACCCTTTATACAACCTATTGCAATATATACCCCTCACTCCTCCCCCCCCCACCCAACATTTACCATACAGATACAACCTATTGCTATATATACCCCTCACTCCTCCCCCCCCCCCAACCACCCCTCATTCACCATACAGATACTATAACAAACAAAAATACCTGTATTAATTAAATATACATCTCAAACAACTTAAACATACGTGGTATTCACTATGTGATAAGGTGAATGCTTATTGTAGGCCGTTTAGGGAGGTTCGGGAATTTCCGGAGTCCACAATGGACGCTTTATGTAAATGAGTATTTGGGGGAATACTAACCCTAACCCTAACCCTTTTAAGAGGGGCAAAAGGTAAACTGGATCCAAATTCATTTAGTCTTCTAAAAAGGGTTACGATTAGTGCTTCCCAAAATACTCACATATATAAAGCGGCCATTGTGGACTCCTGAAATTCCCGAACCTCTCCCATGCGATAGCCTTGATTAAAGATGCAGTGTACAAGAGCTAACTAGACCATGGGATGGCAGAGATATTAAATCTTACATATTGCATCTTTAACAGACTGGAAACAAACAGCAACATTATAAAACATCTTTCTGGACCAGTACCATCCATATTTTTATAGGAATTAATTTATAAAATACGTACTGATCTGGATAATCAAAGCTTATATATTACGAGACAGAAATAAATAAATTATTTTGATGTTAGAGTATGTAGTTCAGAAGATGTCTTCTGTGTTTAACATAAAAATACTGAGTGAAATAATATTTTAAACTTTGTGACACTTATTTTTTAAAAAACACAACGCATTCGAATAACTTCAGAAAATCTCTTGATAAAAATTTTAGGTTTATGTCCACATGTGGAGCTACTGTTGACTTTCTTACTGATTTTGTGCCGACACATGTAGCCATAATCATCAAAAACTTAAATTTAATAAACATCCTGACTTCTATTGTGTTTGAAAACGACAAGAGAATTATTGTTTAAAATACAAACAATCGTTTTCTGTGTTTATTTTAAGTAAACTTCAGGGCCCCGTTTCTCGAAATCTTAACTAAATATAAAATCCAAATTTTAGTAGATACTTCAATTTTGATTGGCTAAGCACTAAAATCAATCTAATATTATCTAATCAAATTACTAAAATTTGGATTTTATCTTAGTTAGAATTTCGTGAAACAGGCCCCTGTTTGATAAAACTTTGCTGAAAGATAATCACCAGTCTTTGGTCTTCTTTATTTTTTTTTCTCTGCTTTCACTTTTTGAACTCTCTTGGACTGGGAATGTAGTTTACGGAATAACTCTGCAAATTTATTGGACGAGAACATCGTCTCAAGGACACCCTCCAAACAGACGTAAAGAATTCGTTTATTGAGGTTTTTATGTTGAAACATATCGAAGATGCGACCCACGCCCATTCGAACTACGTCTGCTCCCAGCACAGTCTTCAGTTCATCTGAAATGAGAGGGAGACATGGGGTTTAACATCCACTCAACACAAATCAGGTTATATGGTCGAATTTTAAGTTACTTGGGCGTAGGGGTCTTTAGCAGTGGGAGGAAACCGGAGGACCCGGAGAAAACCTATGAGGTTGGACAGCGACCCTACTCCTTGTCACATATAACTGGGGAATCGAAACCATGCCAGTTGACTCAATGACAGACCTTATGATACAACATGCACGCGCTAACCATTCAACCATCCACCACCACGAATCGTGGACAAATCTTACGATGTAAAGTGCAGGTGTCAGCCACGAACACCAGCAGGCATAAAAAGAATATATAACCCAATGGTAATACCCCATCTCCCCAATTCATATCAGACTCGTGCCCAAATCCCTCGTTCTTATTAGGAGGACACCCAAATTCCTAGTTCATATCAGTCCCGACGCCCAAATCCTAGTCAAATGCATCCTGGATTAAAATATTTCATTTTTCATACATTCTTGTCAATTGTGGAGTTCCATACTTTAAAGCCCACAATGGTTCAGATCAATTCCCGGCCCTGGATCCCAAAATTTATAGACTGATTAATCAGTAAACAGAAAACTGCTAGAACACCCGGGACAAATGAAATAAAATGGTGTTTTAACATCCTACTGTTCTGCACCGACTGGGCTATTGATGACGGGCATACAGTGTACTATCAATTTCCAACTACCAATGGACATTTTACATGCACGCCAATGTGTACATGGGACCTCTATTTTTTGTCCCTTTTTGTCCCATCCGAAAAACTATTCACTGTCACTTGCCAGGCCCGCTATCCTGCACCACTGACAATGGGGAACCAGACCAGAAAATCCTGATGGACATTCTGGGCCAACACAGAGATCAAAACAAGGGACCTTCAGGTTAGCGAGCCAACATCTTTAACACTGAGTCACAAGGGATCCTCCACCCCCCCCCCCCAAGGACTAGCTGGAACACCTTGTATAGCATTATTATATAGTCAACCTACCTGGGACACCTGCCTAGCATTATTATATAGTCTTCCTACCTGGGACACCTGCCTAGCAATAGCGTTATCATATAGTCTACCTACCTGGAACATCAAGGACTAACATTATATTATAATTAACATACCTGGAACACTGCCCAACATTTTAGCTTTACAATAAACTTGTGTCCTGTACTTGGTATGAACGTCCCGCGTGATCCGCGGCTCAGCTAGATTACCATTCGGCCAGAACGAATCTCTGTAAAAATAAACATACAAATTACAATTATTACATCAACTCACAACAGATGATGATAGAAAGAGAGAGAGAAATGGGGTTTAAGGTCCACTCGACATAAACTAGGTCATTTCGGGACTAAAATATGGTTCAATTATATTTCAATAATTCGCTTGCGCGAAGAGGTCTTTAGCAGTGGGAGGAAACCGGAGAACCAGGGAAAAACCCATGAGGTTGGAAACAGATGATGAGCGAGTCAAGACAACCGAAAGTGGGTGGCAAGAAAACGGAAGATTTCAAAACATTTTAAACCTTACCTGAATGCTTTTAAATATTCTGACATTTGTTCAGCAGATGTCATTAGATCAACATGGTCGACAATTTTTCTAAAATAGAAAAGAATGTTCTAATGAAATAAATTTTTAAAAATGTTCTAATAAAATTGTTTTTTAAAAATGTTCTAATAAAATTGTTTTTTAAAGAATGTTCTAATGAAATAAATTTCAAGAATGTTCTAATGAAATAAATTTCAAGAATGTTTTTATGAAATAAATTTTAAAGAATGTTTTTATGAAATAAATTTCAAGAATGTTTTAATGAAATAAATTTCAAGAATGTTTTTATGAAATAAATTTCAAGAATGTTTTAATGAAATAAATTTCAAGAATGTTTTAATGAAATAAATTTCAAGAATGTTTTAATGAAATAAATCAAAGAACGTTCTAATGAAATAAATTTAAAGAATGTTCTAAAGAAATAAATCAAAGAATGTTCTAATGAAATAAATTTAAAACATGTTCTAATGAAATAAATCAAAGAACGTTCTAAAGAAATAAATTTTAAGAATGTTCTAATGAAATAAATTTAAAACATGTTCTAATGAAATAAATTTAAAAAATGTTCTAATGAAATAAATTTAAACATGTTCTAATGAAATAAATTTTAAAAAATGTATTTTTCATTTTAATGATTATTTCTACAATGAGAGGTGGTGGGCGGGGGAAGAATTTAGCCTGCACAGTGGCATTTATGCCTAATGTTCTTCGAATTTCATGCGAATGTGATTATTGCTTTTACAACTCATCTGAAGGATTTGGGAACAGACATCACCTCTAACAAGTTTAGAAGGGATTCCGTAGTGGGGTTATACCCCGTCAGACCAGGGTGGTGCCCTTACTGCGCTGCTTCGGCGATGGAAAATAGTCCCAGAGCATGTCAAGATCGCATGAGCGTGGTAAAAGTGTGGTGGAAACGCCAGATATCACGAAGTGGTCTCCATAGTCGCAAATGATCGTCGAGTCACTGCATTTGTTTTTAGCATGTTCAAAACAAGGTTCTGTGATCTGAGCTGGAAAGGTGTGAAAACGCGACTTTTTTCAAGTTTGTAATATTTTGGGACTTTTTTTCGCGCGCTGTGTTCACGTTTGCCGGCGACCTTGTGCATTTTCTGGTCGCCGTACAGTCGCTGTAGCGCAGTAAGGACGCCACACAGGTCTGACAGGGGCATTATTACATAAGATGAATACATTACCTGTTGATCTTATCTCCGAATGTTGCACTGATCAGTTGCCTTAGCAACACGAGAATCATACGACGTATTGATTGATTTTTATGACGTAGATCAAACACTTCATCCATTAATAATAACATAATACGAACAGGTATATTCTCTTCATCCTGAAAAAAAAACAATGACACTGACAGTTCTTGCTATAATAGTTAAAAAATAGATAATATAAAGAGAATATGCTGAAAATTTCAGTCAAATTGCTTCACTCTGAGTCGAGAAAACAATAATAAACAAACTCTCGGTTATCCATTTTTAGGGTTAATCATGAACAGCCATTGAATCGCAGATTGGATTCAAATTTGTTTAAAATCATACCCATCAGATGGCGTTGAGAGTTAATTAATGTCTAATTAATAGTTTATATAACATTTCAGACCTAAAGTAAGACCTGTAATATGCAGATTTAGCTCTTGTATAATGTATGTTTAATCTTCTCAACTACAATTATATGTAATTAACGGTAAGCCCAGATCTGGTTTGGGTCATTTTCCACAGCCCTCGGTCATGACTGGCATAGATGGCTGACATGGAGGGCACACAAACTAGATCATTTCGGGACTACCACATGGTTCAATTTTATTTCACTAATTCGCTTGCACGTAGGGGTCTTTAGCAGTGGGAGGAAACCAGATGGATCCAGAGAAAACCCATGAGGTTGGACAGGTAACTCTGCTCCTTGTCACGTACAACCAGGGAATCGAAACCATATCAATAGGATTCATTCTCTGATCACTCCAATGCTTCACACAAATTTTACAAAGATCTGTTAAAAAATGCAGCATCTATCGTGTTAATGGACATGAGTTACATTGACGGACAGTAGTGACAACATAATAATACGACCTGGGGTATAAAAATGCAGCATCTATCGTGTTAATGGACATGAGTTACATTGACGGACAGTAGTGACGACATAATAATACGACCTGGGGTATAAAAATGGACATGAGTTACGTTGACGGACAGGAGTGACAACATAATAATACGACCTGGGGTATAAAAATGGAAGACTTACATCAGGATCTAGACCTTTACCAACTTTACCCCTATCTATAATTCTTGCACCAGTTATATCATTACTATTCTATAAAATAAACATAAACTCAAATAATCATCAATTTATACCTCTCTAATTTAATGTTGACTTAAACATAACCTATGGTATATGCAACAACCATGTAGTAGGTTTTGGTCTGTTAAGCCGTCAGAGGGGTCATGGAGGCTAAGTGGGTAAGACAATGACTCGCTAGCCTTGAGGTCGGGTGTTCGATCCCTGCATTTGCCAAGAAAGTTTGTCCAGATTTTCCAGTGTGGTTTTCCCCCTTGTCAGTGATGCAGGACAGAGGGCCTGACAAGGACAGCCGTCTAGTCGTTCAGATGGTACGGAAAACCGAGGTCCCGTGTACATACTGGCATGCACGTAAAAGATCCCTTGACAGTTGGAATTCGATATAAGAGTAGGCCGTAGTGAAGCTGTCTGGGCAAAATTTCCCTCATGGCACACTGTATTGACGTTTAACCCCATTTCATTTCATTTCATTTTCGTTAAGCTGTCACATTTACGTGTCCTTTTATACAAAATGCGCAGCTCACACAACATGGAGTTTTGTGAAAAGATCTCAAATGGAAACAAGATTGAGACCAGCCGATGAACTTTGTAGTCTTGCTATAATTATGTAATTACTATCCATGGAATTACAATTCTTCATGTAATTACACTTCTTCATGTAATTACAATTCTTGATGTTTCTAATTACAATTCTTGATGTTTCTAATTACAATTCTTGATGTTTCTAATTACAATTCTTAATGTATGTAATTACAATTCTTGATGTATGTAATTACAATTCTTAATGTATGTAATTACAATTCTTGATGTATGTAATTACAATTATTGATTGATGGAGGATGAGTTAATGATGTTAACTATGAAGATGACCTCTATAGAAGTGATCTATCATCAAGCTACTCTCTTAATAATAACTGACCTGTGTCATAGATTTCCTTAATTCCGGTAAAAATGACACAAGTTAATAATGGCACAGGTAAAACTGATACAGGTAAAACTGATACAGATAAAAATGACACAGGTAAAAATGGCACAGGTAAAAATGATAATGGTTAAAAAATGTCAAGGGGTAAAAATGGCACGGGTAAAAATGACAATGGTTAAAAAAGACACAGGTAAAAATTGGCACAGGTAATTAAGTGTCTCAGACCTCAGATATAAAAACAATTATATGCCACTATTAGCGGTGCCATTTTGTGGACCACATTTTTTCTTATTTCTGTCATTTATTAAAATTTTAAATCCTGAATCAAAGATTTTCAGGAATGGCAACAACTTACTCCTTTAAACATTTTTCCGAATCCATCCGTTATTCCATCAGGAACACTCTTAACAGCCTGACCCACATGTTTTACGGAACTTCTCAGTGGATTCACAAATGTATCCATCTAAAATATAGAAACATCAATATCACTTTTATAATTAAATTACGTTAACCGAGAAGGGCTATATTATAAACCAGAAACTAACCCTAACCCTAACACACAGAGGACCAGGCTCCCGGTTACCTATTTAGGGTGCCAGTCTCCGGGTTACCTATTTAGGGTATTTTCCGGTATTTAGTGTGTTTCCGGTGTTTTCCTATGTTTTCAGGTATATAGTATTGCCATGCATTAACCAGGTATATATTGTCTCGTATCTTGATAAAGACTAGTCGAAACATTGTTCAGTAATAAACAGTAATTGTATTCCATAAATATCCAATATAATAAAAGAAATGAAATGAAATGGGGTTTAACATCCTACTGTTCTGCTCCGACTGGGCTATGAGGGAAATTTTGCACGAACAGCGGCACTACTGCCTAATCTTATATCGAATTCCAACTGTCAAGGGATCTTTTACGTGCAAGCCAATATGAACATGGGACGAGACCTTGATTTTTTGTGCCATTCGAACAATTAAGACAGCTGTTCTTATCAGGCCCTCCGTCCTGCACCACTGACAAGCGAGAGAGAGAGAGAAATGGGGTTTAACGTCCACTCGACACAAACTGGGTCATTTCGGGAGTAACATATGCTTTAATTTTATTTCATTAACTCACTTGCGCGTAGGGGAGGAAACCGGAAAACTCGGAGAAAACCCAAGAGGTTGGACAGGCGACCCTACTCCTTGTCACGTACAACTGGGAATTTGAAACCACGCCAGTTGACTTAATAACAGGTCTTGTGATACAGCGCACATGTGCTAACCATTCGGCCATCCAACACACAATGATGTGTGAGAAAAAGAAGTAAAAATTGGGCATGTTTTGTATCCTATTTTACTGTAATAAAACTTATTTCAAGATGGGGAAATTCCCTTTTGTCCTAATTACATTCACACACTTTCTAATATGTTTATATAATACTGTCACCGTCGATGTCCACTCAACACAAACCAGGTCATTTCGGGACTAACATATGATTCAATTTTATTTCAATAATTTGCATGCTCAAAGGGGTCATTAGCAGTGGGAGGATACCGGAGGACCCTGAGAAAACCTACGAGGTTGGATCCTACTCCTTATCATGTACAACCGGGGAATCAAAACAACGCCAGTTGACTCAATGACAGACCTTATAATACAATGCCCACGCGCTAACCCATTCGGCCACCCAAACCCTTAAAAGGAAACAGGGTTTAACTGTTTACATTTCGGCACCAGCTGGTTCCCGAGCAGTGGTTTTTCCGTTTACTCATCATAGAATTTCTACTGTCAAGGCTTCTTTTACATGCAAGCCAACATGTACATGGGACCTTGGTTGCTTGTCCCCTCCCTCTCCACGACTAAGCATTTTCCCTTCCTGGGGAACTTTCTCAGCCAACACAGGGAGTGACCCCAAACCTGGTTACTGAACCAGCGCCCTACTCACTGAGCCATCACGGTTCCCACCGAACCCTTCTGCACTCACAGATCAATTGTTTCAGTTAAAATTTCTTGAATCAAAATGATTCGTTTTATCAACCCTTACTCCTATTAACTTTCTTACCTTTCTTGCGATTTCACTTTTATGTTTTTCCCAGAGTCCCGGTGCCAGAAACTGTGTGACTAATTCTTCCACGATTGGAAACTTGGACCATAATTCTGGTTTCTGTAGTTTCTAAAAATAACAAGTGACAAGTACCTGATAAAACAGTGGTAGAAAAGATGGTTGGCAGAAGTGATTTCTCCCTAAAATCTGAGTCCAGTTTAAATTAAAATGAATTGGAGTTTTAATAAAGATATGCTATGAGGGAAATAGGCAGCAGTGACAGAGATAAGGACAAAAGAGAGAGTGTGAGAGAGAGAGAGAGAGAGAGAGAGAGAGAGAGAGAGAGGTTTAACTCCATTCGACACAAACTAGGTCATTTTGGGAATAACATATGGTTCGATTTTATTTCAATAATTTGTTTGCGTATAGGGGTCTTTAGCAGTGGGAGAAAACCAGAGGACATGGAGAAAACCCACGAGGTTGGATAGGTGACCCTACTCCTTGTCATGTACAACCAGGGATTCGAAACCACGCCAGTTGACTCAATGACATACCTTATGATACAGCCCACATGCTCACCATTCGGCCATCCAACCCCCGCTGATAAGGACAAAGTTCAATAGATGGGGAGCAGATTTGCCTTCTCACTAAAACTGGAGTAGAGTTTGATTGAAATAGGTTTTAACGTTATACTTTTCTGCAGGAAACGCCTTATTAAGACAGGAAACGCCTTATTACACAGGAAACGCCTTATTAAGACTGGCATACGGCATGCAGCGTGGGAAATTTTTGCTTAACACATGACACCGAATAAAACATTGTTTGACCTTCTATTACCTAAAACAACTACACGTACACAATGTGAAATAAACTAAATGACATCAAGGACATGTATAGGTACTTACCCTTAGATATGAGTCGAGAGCTTTCCGGCGTTTCTCCAGGAATTCCTGATTCATGTTTTTTAGAACCGTTTTACCTGGTAGTTGTGGACCTTTTAAACTCGGACACTGAAAAAACAAAAGGTGATCAAATACTAATACCAAATATAAATGGAATCATTTTACTCTTGATAAAATTGACATTTTTAATTTGTGTAATCTCAAAGGACACATTACACTGTAACCCAGGTATCGTTTAATCTTGTGTATCTAGCACTAATTTCTTTCACATACGTTTAATATCAAATCTTTGTTTAAAAATTCGTAAAAATCGTTTAAAATCATCAAATATCATCTAATTTGTACATGTGTCCAGTTTAAAGCTGACTGATTAATTTTGATAATGAGTGTCCAATTTACAAGTATTTAATTTCCTGATCACTGTTCAAAAATTAATCATTATACATCATTAATCAATTGGGTTGTTTATTATTTAACAATGATTGAGAAATTAAACACTTATAAATTGGACACTCATTATCAAAATTGAATGGTCAGCTTTAAACTGGACAGAAGTACAAATTAAACAATTTATTGTGATTTTAAACAGTTTTTACAAATTTTTTAAACAAAGATTTGATATTAAACTAATGTGAAAGAAATTAGTGCTAGATACACAAGATTAAACAATACCTGGCTTACAGTGTTAGTAGTAAAATTACGATAACAATAATTGAGCTTTTCAAGAGTGATTCTGACAATGACAAAAATTTCTGGACTAACATATAGTTAAATTGTATTCAATAATTTGTTTGCACATAGGGGCCTTTAGCAGTGAGGGGAAACCGGAGGACCCGGAAGAAAGTGACGAGATTGGAAAGGCGACCCCACTACTTGTCACAGGGGGGGAATCGAAACCATCCAACTTGACTCAATGACAGACCTTATTATTTCATGCGCACATGTTAAACCATTAGACCCCTACCCCCACCCCTCCAAAACAACCATATAAAACACCTTTTCAATTCAACGTCTGATACAACTTTCATCACTGACAAGGGGGAACTAAATTGACACTGATAGTAGTCATAACCTTCCAGACCACTGATAGCAGTCATAACCATCCAGACCACTGATAGTAGTCATAACCATCCAGACCACTGATAGTAGTCATAATCATCCAGACCACTGATAACCTAATCTGATTCTATTTTCAATCTGATCTATATTTCGTTTCGTTTTTCTTATACTTTCGATGATCTGACCAGTTGTACTGGAAGGTCGCGCACAAGCAGCTTTTGATCTATGACATCAGACATTGATTAAGCAATCAGCGTTGACGTTTCTATTGGTTTACCCACAGTTCCGTGCATTGCATGCCAAGAAATCGCCGAAACAGACTGTTTCATTGGATAATCCCTCACATCATCCATTATATAACAACTCTTCCAGATTTTAGTTTAGTAGAGACAAGTAAAACAAAATTTTGACCTGTATAAAACAAGAGAGAGGGAGAGAGAGAAATGGGGTTTAACGTCCACTTGACACAGACAAAACCCACGAGGTTGGACAGGCAACCCTACTCCTTGTCACGTACATCCGGGGATTCGAAAACGAAATAGGATTTATCTTTTAATCAGATTGATTCTAATTTATTTATATAATATACTCACAGCTTCGATAATTAACATATTCAGATCGTGGAAATCACTGTAACGTCTATAAACATCGGTGACTGTTTCTTCCTCGTTGTCTGCAGTTTTCCTGCGGACCGTGATCGCAAAAATAGCGTAAGTTTTCCCGGTTTCCTTTACAATACCTATAATTACACAGAATAATACATACTATGTATATCTCTTCTTTTTTTTTAACTGTTTTGTTGTGAATGCACATCTAAACACTCATGTGTAATGAAGCGCTATATAAATCGAATAATAATAATAATAATTATAATCATTCGATCTTAGATGTTTCTCATACACTGTACCAAATCTATGGAATTCATTAATTTCCCTTGACCATAAATAATTCACAATCTCGTGGCTGTTTCAAGAAGCAATTAAAGACTCATCTGTTTTCAACTGTTTATTAACATTAACTGTGTTTTTATCTTGTGATAAGTGGAAGAAACAAATGCACCTCGAGCATTAACTTTGATGGATCTGTGCACAATATAAGAACTCCCTATTTTTATTATTATTAGAATGATATTTATATAGCACATTCTTCATATTTTCTAAAAAAAACAACTGCTCAATGTAGAATTTGTAGCATTTAAAGGAGCTAAGTCTCTAACTCAATATTTTCCATATCATTCGAAATTAAAATTAGAATTCAATATGGATCAATTTCAATCAATATTAATGTTATTATCTTGCCGTGAAACTATAGGATCCTAAAATCCAATATTTAAGACACAATTAACATTTTGTAATCGGTACACAAGTCTTGTATGGTTTCGGGTGCCATTTTGTAACGAACAAATAAAAACATATCCTACAACACAAAGTTAAAGTATTTAGTAAAGGCTGATTCACAAATGACAAAACAATAATTTAAAAAACATGTAGAATGCACTTAGCAGGCGTAAAACGACTGCAATTCAATTTGAACAGTTCATGTCTTTCACTGAACATAACTGATTAGAAATTACAATATTTTTTCAAAAATTAAATATAAATCACTTTACATACATTCATATTACATTAATGCTTTTAGAACCATTTTTGTCTATTTCAAGGTTCCAAAAAATAGAGTCATACACCTTGTAAACAGCCATGTTTTTAATCGACACTTGAAAACAGATGAGGATGGTGAAAGTCTAACATGCTCAGGAAAAGAATTTCGTAAAATTGATGCTGTCCAACGGAAAAGGTTTTTGATCCAATGGTTTTAAAATTTGTTTTCCTCACATTTATTTACTACCTGAGAGTTGTAGTTGGTTGGTATGGTTGTCGTGTTGTTAATGTATTAATAACACATATCTTGTCAGGTACAAATAGTATTTGAAGGTAATTTTCTTTTTGACCTGGTGTGCCTTTGAGACACTTCTTCTTATAAGGGTCATGGATGGTACACCTGATAGGCAAGGCTTGGATTAAATCAACAAAATACTGGGAAAGAGAGAGAGAGAGAGAGAGATAGAGAGAGAGAGAGAGAGATAACAAACAAACAAGGCTGTGGTTGGTGTTGATGGAATATTGTTTTGGTGGACTAACTTTCCCTCCAGAGAGACAAAAATGGGGTTTAACATCCACTCGAAACAAACTAGGTCATTTCGGGACTAATATATGTTTCAATTTCATTTCATTTGCTCTTAGGGGTATTTAGCAGTGGGAGGAAACCAGAGGACTCACCTGTTTGCGTTATTTGACCAGATATGTAACTGTCACCTGACTGGGTTCCAGATGAAGAGGCGGAGCTTACAGAATCTAGTGATAAGGTGTCTGGTGATTGGTCCATTGGATTGTCAAGCAAATCATCTGACTGACAAAAATAAATGAAATCATATAATTGTGGAAACTTTCAGTCATGATAACAAAACTCTTTAATTTCCTCATCCCTGATAATTTGTCAAGTTCTTGTAATCAGGCTTTATCTTTATCCCCTAGACTAGTCTTGGCTGTTGCACACAAACCTTGGTGGTTAAAACACATAATAAATATATACATTATTATCATAATTCAATTTAAATAAGTAAATTTTCTATTGCAATTAAAATCCGGTTGATTTTATATCGTCTTAAAGGTTTATTCTATTTAAAAGAAAAAAACATCTGTAATAAATTTGAATTTGACTATATACAGAACCAAAAATAAGCCGTGCAAAGCATCAAAGCTTTAGTCAGTAAGAAACGTGAGAAGAAGCAGAACTAGAGTTCACAAAGCATTCTCAGACTTAAGTTAAGAATTTACTCAACTTTCAATCACTGTTTATGAAAATTTCTTTGATCCAGATACACATAACTTTGCACATAGTTTCTTATTGATGTATTTGATACATTGAAAGAACAAAAGTTTTATAAACGTCTATATATTAGTTAAAATAAGGAGAACAATTATGAGTAAATTCTTAACTTGAGTCTGAGAATGCTTTGTGAACTCGGCGCCAGATGTATTACATTGTAGTTAAAAAAACATTTCAGAATTTTCACTGACATCCAGTCTCAACATTGTTTTCACTGTCATCCAGAGTCAACAGTGTTAAATAAATAACTAACTTTTTTCAAAGTTTTACACCTCATTAAACAGGAACATGCCATGAGTCAAACAGAATTTATTTTTACTCGGAAAACACAAAACCTGTTTTTTTCCCCCAAGGTTTATTCTAATTTTAAGAAATAGAGCTCTTAAAGTAATGCAGCCTTCTTCAAGATAATTAATGAAGAATTAAAACTAAATTCATGCCATGCATAAACTGTCATGTGGGGTGGGTTGGGGTGGCGTTGGGGTGGATGTGGGGTGGGGGAGGGGTGCACGCTAAAATTGTCGTTGAAAGTATGGTTTACACAGACACAGTTGAACAAAATTAAAGTAGAATAATCGTTTCTAATTTTTCAATTAAAATGGTATATAACGGCTGGTTGTATAATAATATAAGAACTGATAGCAGTAGCTAAGATACTTTCTCAAAAAATGGGAGCATAGTTACTTTCTTCCCTTGGTAAAGTGGATTAGAGTTATCCCGCTTTTATAACCCAATAAAATATAATGGCTAGTTGTATACCCGCATTAGAACTGATAGCAGTAGTTCCTTTCTCGAGAAATGGGAACATAGTTATCTACCCTTGGTAAAGTGGATTGGGGTTTTCCCCTTTTAAAATCAAATGGTATAAAAAGACTGGGTGTATACAACTAATAATAATATAACAACTGATAGCAGCCGTAGGTTAGAGTTATTCCTATTATAAAATCAAATGCTAAAACGGTTAAAATACCAAATATTGAAGTTTGAGTGAACAACTTCTGAATACATCTGGTTTTTCCAAAGTTACAGCTAATGAGTCGATTGCAGAAAGACAAAAACAAAATATAATTTTAACTGAAAGATGAGAAGAAAAGACAAGACTTACGCTACTGACGGAACCCCTCGGTTTACAACAGACTTCTATAGGCAGCCACAAAAGAAAAAAAAAACACAAAAAAAAACAAAGTAGCACAAATCAAATCAAATAAAGATAAAAAATCGTTCGTCTGTGAGTATATTAAGGTGAAATTACCCAGACCAAACAACATGATTTTTTATTTCCTTCTGGTTTAAAAATTTTGGATTCATATAGCCACTTCTTTATTAATTGTCCCGTCTCTCCAAAGACTAATAATAGCATCCGTTGTTAGACTTTCTTGTAGTAAATGCAAACAACCTGCAGGTGTGTGGACGAAATGTTGGAACAAAAGAATGAAGCAAAGTTTACCCTGTTAATAACCATAAAGAAGAGAAAAGCAAACACCTGACGCTCCGAGTAAAAGGTATGTTAAATATTTCTATGGTCATAAAGTATGAACAGAAGATTAATCCTGGATTCGTATTGATAGAGACACAAACTGTCTGAATTCCAAACTAAACTGTATTTAATGCATTTTAAGGTTAATTTCTTGTTTAATAGCAGGTAAATTGACTGCTACATCAGGTAAGTTTCCTAGTCGGTCAACTTCATTAAAGACTGCATCGAGACTCCTGCGTTATCGAAGCACGGAAAAAGCTTCACTAAAAACAATATTCCTTGTAGTCTTAGCATATTGATAAAACTACCAGATATTGAACATAATATAACGGGAGAGAGAGAAACAGGGTTTAATGTCCACTCGGCACAAACTAGGGCTCTTTTGGAAGAAACTGGAGAATACCCACCAGGTACAAGGTTGGGATCGCAACCATGTCACATGTCTGAAGTAGATAACACCCCCCCACCAAACATGGAAAGCATCAGGGTTTAATATAACCCCAGATCGCTCAATTACAAACATATGGTTAATTTTACGTTTACAATGTGAAGCTATTTCTATCTGAGGTTTTAACTGGGATGCTGTCTAGTTACATTCATCATGTGTATTAGTAAAATTATCTACAAACTATCATTCATCCATGGCTTTCATGCACAGTCTTACAAAATTTATTCCACAACAATTTGCCTATAAGAAACAATGAGTTTCTGTACTTGTAATTAATTTAGATAAATGCGGTCCTCTGTGGGAATTGTTGTTTTTATATTTAAAGGATGACATTGATACACTGTGGAAATTGTTGTTTTATTTTATATTTATTGCATGGAACTGATTGTGAGATGTTATACAGTACAATATTACCCAGATTAACCATACTAAAACAATCAGGTTTTGTACTTATCAATGTAGGTTTGTACTTATCAATGCATGTTTTCTGCTTATCAATGTAGGTTTTGTACTTATCAAAGTAGCTTATCAATGCATGTTTTGTGCTTATCAATGCATGTTTTGTGCATATCAATGTAGGTTTTGTACTTGTCAAAGTAAGTTTTGTATTAATCAAAGCAGCTAATCTAAGCAGCTTTTGTGCTAATCAAAGCAGCTTTTGTGCTAATCAAAGCAGCTTTGTACTTATGAATGCAGGTTTTGCACTTTTGTAACCTATATTTTTTAACTATCAATGCCTGGTTTACATTGATCAATGTATATTTGAACTTATCAATGTATATTTTGTAATAATTAAGATATGTTTTGTCCCTAGATATCAACATATATTCTGTATATTTTTAGTCATGGCAGAAAAATCTATTAGCAGAAAATAAGCAAAGAATCCATGAAATGTTGTGAGAGAATTAAAACAATAAATTCCCATCATGCAAATCAAGCTGATTATGCACACAGATGCTAAAAATGGTAAAAAACTTGTTACTGCCAAACGGCTAACTTGACCTACTTTTGCTTTAAACCACAGAATCCTGGGAACTGGAAAAGATTATTCAATTTCCGATAAAATGACAAATTTTTTGATAATTTTATGGTCGATGAATTTTGAGTGGGATACAACTTTTCGTGAACACTTCACCTACATCATTTGGAGACTAACATATGCTTTCTTTTAGGTCTTCATTGTGGGAGGGCATTTTACCCAAATTCCTACAGACAAGATATGCACCATCATTTAAAAGGTGGTTTAATTTGATTAGAACATTTAAGTTTATTGTGGCTGTATGTGACAGGAGAATTTTACCAAAATTCAATGGTCAAAAGTCGCTCATACGCACCACTGGGGTGCAGAAGCAACCTTGAAAGCTTAGCTGCATAACCAAGTTTATAAAATTATTAACTTACCGTCATCCAGACTGATGGTATCTCCGTCGTCCGTTTTACTTCCCTTCAACATGCCAAGTTCTGATAATAGTTTAACGTAATAATTACTCTGCAGAAACTCCTCGTAATATTGTGAATGTAAAATCTGATACACCTACAAAATACAACAACGATGATAAGGTTTAACAATCGTACATTTCTGCACCAGGGGGTCACGGTGGCTAAGTGGGTAAGTTAGAGCTGGCTCGCTAGTCAGGAGGTCGGGTGTTCGATCCCTGCATTGGCCATGAAAATTTCTTCCAGATTTTTCCGGCGTGGTTCCCCCTTGTCAGTGATGCAGGACGGAGGGCCTGACAAGGACAGCTGTGTAGTCCTTCGGATGGTATGAAAAACCGAGGTCCCGTGTACTCATTGGCATGCATGTAAAAGATCCCTTGACAGTTGGAATTTGATATTACAGTAGGCCGTAGTGCTGCTGTCAGGGCAAGATTTCCCTCATGGAACACTGTATGGCATATGCCCGTCTTCATTAGCCCAGTTCAGAGCAGAACAGTAGGACGTTAAACCCCATTTCATTTCATTTCATTTTAATTATCAGGAATCAGACCACTAGTAAGTAAACAATACCAGCAGTGTCAAATGTGATGTTCAGGACTACTAACTCTTCTAACAATACCAATATGATGTTCAAGACTACTTACTCGAGATTGAACGGCATCAAAGACATCTTCGGACAACATTCTATCTTTTATATTCTGTAACGTTCGTTTGATTAATTCAGATGGTAGTTTCATCTTTATTGTTGCCTATAAAACAATAAAATAATTTGAAGAAAAGTATTTTTTAAGTCCGTTAATCTTACGAGAAAACCCTTAATCAATTTCAGAAAAAAATTCTGGTCCATTCCCAGAAGAAATTTTGAAATTTCCTTTTTCTCAAAAGAAAACCCTAACCCAATTCTGGGAGAACTTTAACTTTTCTCAAGAGAAAACCCTAACCCAATTCCAGGAGAAGCGTACCTTCTCTCAAGAGAAAACCCTAACCCTCACCCAATCTAGATTAAAAACTTATCTTTTCAAAATTCATTACTAAAATTAACACAAACCTTAGAGCCAATGTTGTGTATATAATATTTGTATATGGTATTACCACAGGTTGTGTATATAATATTTGTATATGTTATTACCACAGGTTGTGTATATTATATTTGTATATGGTATTACCACAGTTTGTGTATATAATATTTGTATATGGTATTACCACAGGTTGTGTATATAATATTTGTATATGGTATTACCACAGGTTGTGTATATAATATTTGTATATGGTATTACCATAGGTTGTTGATTTGATGCTGTATGATTTAATATCGGGATCAATTTATAAATTTACCTTCTCTCCCAGATATTGATCGTATATAATCATTGCTGCCCTGCGTAGAGATTGTAAATCAGGTTCCATAGCTTTACTTGACGTCTGTTTTGATTTATGCGCTTCTGTGATTTGCTGCTCGGCTGCCGTTCGAAAACCCTGGAATGTATACAGTATGTATATAATGTCCAATAGCCATGGTGTTAAAATTTTGAAAGGGTTCTAGACAGATATTTATTCAAAGAGAGAGAGAGAGAGAGAGAGAGAGAGAGAGAGAGAGAGCGAGCACGCGATGGGGTTTAACATCCATTTGACACAAACTAGGTAATTTTGGAACAAACATATGGTTCTCTTTTATTTCAATAATGCACTTGCGCATAGGGGCCTTTAGCTTGTGTATAGATGTTGAATTGGTGACTCTACTCCTTATCAAGTACAAGACCTTATGATCTAAAGCGAACACAATAAACCATTCGGCAAATTTTCACTCATAGTACACTGTATGGCGTAATCCCGTCTTCATTAGCCCAGGATAGGAGTAGAACAGTAGGACGGTAAACCCCATTTCATTTCATTTCGTTTATTCAGTATGATCAGAAAGTCTATATGCTGTTTATTCAGGTATATCGGGGATCTAAACAGCCATGTGTCTCTGGTTTGAGTTATAGGTAACTTTAATCAGTCAGCCATTTTCAATATCCATTGGACATGGACTATAAAAGCCCTCAAGAAAACTGGGGGGGGGGATGGACTATCAAAGCCCTCAAGAAAACTGGGGGGGGGGGGATGGACTACAAAAGCCCTCATGAAAACTGGGGGGGGGGATGGACTATCAAAGCCCTCAAGAAAACTGGGGCGGGGATGGACTACAAAAGCCTTCATGAAAACTGGGGGACTATAAAAGCCCTCAAGAAAACTAGGGATGAGGAGCGGGGACCTATAAAGCCCTCAAGAAAACTGGGGAGGGGGGCATGGCCTAGTGGTCCAGAGAGTTACGCTTTGAGCTCCAGCTGGCTGGTCACTCTGGTTTGTGGTCGTGGTTTGATGATGATGATGATGATGATGATTAGTCTTACCTCAACATTTAAATAAAAGAATAAAATCTGTTCACCACCTTTACTTGTCATAAATTCTGAAAATAAAAAATCAACCATCCGTTCTTATATAATTACAATAACACAAGATTTATATAGATTACACAATGAAATAAAATGAAATGGAGTTTAATTGTCCTACTGTTCTGCTCCGACTGGGCTAATGAAGACGGGCATATGCCATACAGTGTGCTATGAGGGAAATTTGGCCCAGACAGCGGCACTACAGCCTACTCTTATATCGAATTCCAACTGTCAAGTGGTCTTTTACGTGCACACCATCATGTACACTGTCTCATTCAAACGACTAGACACTGTCCTTGCCAGGCCCTCCGTCCTGCATCCACTGACAAGAGGAAATCACGCTGGTAAATTCCAGGGAACTTTCTTGGCCAACACCGGGATCGAACCCCAATCGCCTAGTTGGTGAGCCAGCGCCTTCCTCACTGAGCCATTGCAGCTCCAAAGATTTATATAGGTTTTTTAGCGGTTTAAGGCTAAAATCTATCAACGGTATATTTTATTTTGATGTTTGTGATTAATTCTTAAATTATATTTTCGGTAAATCCTAATTCTTCCTTCATAAATATTTAGAATAAAATTAAAAGTAAGTAACTCACCAATAAAAGCCTGTAATGCTATATTATTTAATTAAAAGTAAGTAACTCACCAATAAAAGCCTGTAATGCTATATTATTCTCCATGATGTCATCCAGAGTCAAAATGTATAAATTATGATACTTCAGAAATTCTGGTTCCTAAAAAGGAGAGAGAGAGAGATGGAGTTTAACATCCACTCAACACAAGCTAGGTCATTTCCTGACTAACATATGATTTCAATTCATATTTCAATGATAATTTCTATATTACAGGGAAAGAGAGAGACACACACAGTAGGTCATTTTGGGACTAAAACAAGTCTCAATTTTATTTCAATAATTCACTTGCGCATAGGGAGTTTCCTACAAGGATTTAAAGGGAATAAGGAATGAATGAATGAAATGGGTTTAAGGTTCTACTCCAACATTCTAAATTTCTGCTCCAACCGGCCTAATGAAGATGGGAGACTAAAAGGGAGACAAATTTGACCAGTTGTGGCTAAATGTTATACATGTACTAGGACTCCTATTTGGCATGAAATATACAAAAGTTTACGTGTCTCAAAAAATAGTTTTATATCTCAATTATCCAGATGCTCTTCCATGAAAACTGATCAGACATGTTTGGTTGCTATGTAGACAACAGAAAGTAGTTAGAGCTTCTAAGAGGGGTGTTGTAAACGTTTCCAGCCTCAACATAAACGGATCACCTGAACTCAACTATTCTGCTTATGCTGCTAGAAAAGTATCAGAAGTAGAGACAACCATGGTCTAAATGCCTTTGTGAAGTGAACATCCATGATAAAGTTTAACAGATGTGTACACAGGAACTCCATATTTCACTGGCTATGTTATCCCTTTCCAGGCCCCCTGTCCTCAATCACCTGATAAGAGAGAACCACGCTGGAAAATCCTGATGAATATTCTTGATGAACACAGTGATCGAACACGGAATGTCCAGGTTAGCGAGCCAACATATAACTAAGTCAACGTTGACCAATCAGAGAATGTTTTACATACCTCAGGTAAAGATTCGCTATCTAATGGTCCTTCTTGTAATCGTTTGATTCGGGCTTTACACGTATCTTTAACAAATCGTAAACTGTTTAAATTCTGTTTAACTAGAGTATCTGAAAATATCAATATGATGATACATGACATCATGACATTGGGAGGGGGGGGGGGGTGTTAACGCGTGCACAATGGATCACAAGGTCTGTCATTGAGTCAAGTAGGATCGTCTGTCCAACCTCGTAGGTTTTCTCCAAGCTCTCCGGTTTCCTCCCACTGCTAAAGAGTAAAGACCCTTACGCACAAGCGAATTTTTGAATAAAATTGAAGCATATGTTAGTCCTGAAATGACCTAGTTTGTGTTGAGTGTACGTTAAACCCCATGAGGCTTAACACACTACTGTTCTGCACCAACCGCGCTTATGAAGACAGGGATACACCATGCAGTATGTGACTGTCATCTGTCTGTCTGTCTGTCTGTCTATTCGGGGTTGGTGGCTACACTAGGGCTGTATCGAGGCTGAAATTTGGTGTAATGGGGTAGCTGTAGTTCTGACCGGGGAGTAATATATGCGAGTTGGCGTTGGACTACCGCTTCCGGTATTATACTACTTTCAACCCGTGAAGTACCAAGTCATCCGGTAGTAGAGGCATATCAGACAGTGACGACGATATATCATATACGCGCAAGATCATTGTCCCATTCAAACAACTAGACGCTGTCCTTGTCAAACCCTCTGTTCTGCACCCATGACAGGGAAAGACCACGCTGAAAAATCTCGAGGAACTTTCTTGGCCAAATGTCGTTTAATACCTAAGATCTGCTGGTTACTGAGTCACTGAGCATATTTTAATTTTCTTGTTCATACTTCCGACTCATTTTGCTATCATTGGTCGCACAGATATCTTCAGAAAAGAAAGAGAAATGGGGTTTAACGTCCACTAGAAACAAACTAGGTCATTTCGGGACTAATATATCGTTCTATTTTATTTCATTAATTCGTTTGCGCAGGGTGATTTCCTCGAAAATCAAGATCCTAAATTCATAACCATTGATTAAAAACCAAATGCGAACTACTTACAATATAAAACCAATATATACTCAGCCAAATTAAAAACTTGACACTGATGAATTTCAACAAATTTTTTTTTCTGGTAAGTCAAATAAATTTTAAAGTGTTTCTAACGATAGTAAGTAGTAAGAAGCCTTTAATTTTATAAAATTGTAAAGTCACGTGGATCACGTGACTTTTGAGCATATAAAGATGAAAAACCTGAAAAACACGTGCAAACACAAACTCGTGAGGTCAATCGATGCAAGTTTGCTTAAACTGAACACGCACACGTAACTTGAACTGGAAAAACAAATTAAAATTGTTATTTTCATCTTTGTTAGAAAATGCCGTGCCTTTCAAATGTAGAACGTCTACGTGCTATAGGTAGGCTCTATGCTGGTCAGTCTGTGGTCACTATTGCAAGAGCCTATAATTGTTCATGCCAGACAATAATTAATCTTAGAATGAGAGTGCTTCAAACTGGAACTATTGCCGACCGTCCAAGGGCGGGAGCGCCACGTGTGACCTCACTCCAAGAAGATCAAGCAATACGATTACGTCATCTTAGAAACAGATTTGTCACTGCAACCTCCACAAGTAGAGAGATGTTTGGTGGAAGGGTAACTGCACAAACTGTTCGAAGTCGCTTGCAGGCTGCTGGTCTTCGAGCTCGGAGGCCCTATAATGGACCAATATTGACACCTCTTCATCGCCGTAACCGACTTGTGTGGGCCACAAGACACATAAGATTTACTCAAAGACAGTGGAATTCAGTTGTCTTTAGTGACGAATCTCGATTCACTTTGAGATTTGCCGATGGCAGGGTCTGAGTGTACCGCAGACGAGGTGAACGTTACGCTCAAGTATGCGTCAGAGAAGTTGACCAATTTGGTGGCGGCAGCGTCATGGTTTCGGGTTCTTTTTGTGCACATGGACGTTCTCCTCTTGTTGTTGTCCAAGGGAACTTAAATGCTGTCCAGTACAGGGATCAGATTTTGCAACCTGTTCTTCTTCTGTTTATGCAGAGACATGGGCCTGGACTAACGTTTCAACAAGACATGTACAATGCTCGACCCCATACAGCAATTGCTACCCAGAGTTTTTAAAGAAATGCCGGTGTCCAAGTCCTGGATTGGCCGTCGCTTAGCCCCGACCTTAATCCTATTGAACACATCTAGGACGAACTGGGTCGACGTGTTTGTCAGCAAGTGAATCCACCACTGACGTTGCAGGACCTTCAACATGCTCTTGCTGAGCAGTGGCAACGTCTACCTCGGGTAGTGTTTACTAATGTTCTGAGATCCATGAGAAGACGTTGTGTGGCAGTACGAGACGCCAGAGGAGGCCACAACTGTTACTAAACACTTTATTCCGATTGGTCTCCAAGTCTGTGAATTTCATTTTGGGGGGTATTGTGACATCACGAACGTTATCAATGTCAAGGACTTTCGGCGAGACGTATTCTTGCTTTCTGTTGATGTCAAGGTTGTCTGTGCACAACATAACACTAAAATAGTTGCTTTAAACCAAATATTAAAAATCTAGTCCCAAAAATCCCGAGTGTCAAGTTTTTAATTTGGCTGAGTATAATAGTATCCAGTACGTCAAATTTTAAAACAACACCATCATGGCCCTCGTTATCCAGTTCAAACTTTTAAAATAACATCATTACAGCCCTCGTTATTTAGTTTATACTATTCAACAATTCAAATAATAAAATATTGAAATCCTACCATCATTTCCCCCGCTATCTTTTGCCCTCCATTTTGTAATGTCTGCCTCGACCTTCAACTCTACAGCCTCCAGTTCTTCCAAACTTTCACTATTTTTAATCACAGTTAGAAACGTTTCTTTGGTGAACGACGACATCTGGCACTGAAATAGACATAGAATGCTGGAGATTTTTCTAGACTATGACCGAAAAACTGATTTGAACCACAAATAGACTTGACATAAGAGACTACAGTCAAAATAAGACTGAAAGGTAAAAATATGACTTGACATAAGAGACAAAATAAGATCGACAAACTGATCTCAACAACAAAGTGGGGTAAAAATTTCGCTTGATATTAAAGACTACAGTTAAAATAAAATAACCACAAAGTGAATTTCATTACATTAATTTCATTATGTTGAGATTTAAGCCCTCACCCAAATTCTTAAACCTATTTCACCACCCTAACTCACCACCCTTAAACCCCACCCACCACCCTAACTCACGACCCTTAAACCTAACTCATCATCCTTAAACCTAGCTCACTACCCTCAAACCTCACTCACCACCCTCAAACCTAACTCACCACCCTTAAACCTAACTCACCACCCTTAAACCTCACTCACCACCCTTAAAACTAACTCACCACCCTCAAACCTAACTCACCACCCTCAAACCTAACTCACCACCATTAAACCTAACTCACCACCCTTAAACCTAACTCACCACCCTCAAACCTGACTCACCACCCTTAAACCTAACTCACCACCCTCAAACCTAACTTACCACCCTTAAACCTAACTCACCACCATTAAACCTAACTCACCACCCTCAAACCTGACTCACCACCCTTAAACCTAACTCACCACCATTAAACCTCACTCACCACCCTTAAACCTAACTTACCACCCTTAAACCTCACTCACCTCCCTTAAACCTAACTTACCACCCTTAAACCTCACTCACCTCCCTTAAACCTAACTCACCACCCTTAAACCTGACTCACCACCCTTAAACCTGACTCACCACCCTTAAACCTAACTTACCACCCTTAAACCTCACTCACCTCCCTTAAACCTAACTTACCACCCTTAAACCTCACTCACCTCCCTTAAACCTAACTCACCACCCTTAAACCTGACTCACCACCCTTAAACCTGACTCACCACCCTTAAACCTAACTCACCACCCTTAAACCTCACTCACCACCCTTAAACCTCACTCACCACCCTTAAACCTCACTCACCACCCTTAAACCTCAC